ACGTTCGTTTATATTCTAACTTCACTTATCACAGAACATGTTTTTCTCTCTTATTCTTAATTGAACATGCATAGCGTATGTTGGAATAACGATGATTCTGTTCAATGTCTTCGATATGCCCACATAAGGTATTGCTTTACTGAAAAAGCATTTATTGGGGACCAAAGGACACGACTGTTTTGTGCATTTCAAACCCACACTCTCAGATTGAGAACGTTAATCCCCAACACACAAAGTCAGAGATCTAATCCAAACAGCGGCTTGTCACATGGAAGTCTGATAACTATAGCTAGTTCTCAAGAAAAGAGTAACAATTCAGTGAAGGTAAAAACCCATTGTGAATGATAACATGGGAGTAAACGCTCAAAGATTTAGAATCTCATTTTCTGTTTTACATTATTCTGAAGAATTTACAACCGGTTGAAGGGAACTGATTAAGCTTCTGACCTAATAGAAACGTCTCAACTTGCATAACACTGTTTTCTCTCAGCCAGAGCCTTAGCGGTATACATTGAATGAAGTCATATAAGCCTCGGTAGCAAAGGTAACAGAACATGTAACATTTAACAATGTGAAAAATAAACTTTCACATGGTAGAAACGTTTTAGTACCAGTAACACAAATACATAAACTATTCAAATACACGCCCTACACATTCGGACTGATTCATAACTTTCCAACTTATGAGAACATTTGATATTTTACAAATTGTCCATATTTCAAACCCTGTTAAACTTAGAAAGGATTCGTAAATTTCAGCACCTATAACAATTAGAAGGAATGTATTGGAAAGACATTGTACTCTATATGATCAAGTATTTACTGACGTTTCAACTTTTGAATTCATGCTAGGAAGTTTCTGCAAATCTGATCATGGTATACACGATGAAGGTGCTTGTGTGTACGGCAATACACCATTAGTATATGCTCCAAGTGTAGTTTTATATAAAAGAACGCCGAGAGTTAATATCGAGAAACATAGTTTATTGTGCAAATCCAGTCATAACATGCATTCCTCACTGAATTTGTCTTGTTTCATTGCTGCAAAATCCGGCTTTGGTCCCGTGTGTGCATCTCGTGTCACAAATGTATACTGACAGCGGTCGGCAATTGTAAATAACGCAAACTCACCATGATACGGTGGTATGAATATCAGAGGTGAAGAAAAGAGAATAACGAGGCTCGATTACCTACTTGACGTGAAAGGCAAAATGGAGGGTGCAAAAAAAACGAATGAACAATTGAAACATTGACATTTCTCGTGACTCAGCGTTGCTATCTTTTTTCTTGTTTTCGAAATGTGCTGTGAGTGACCTTTTCTCTCGGGAACATTTTGACCTAATTCAGTCAGCCAGCTCTCCCAGACTGGCTGCTCTCAATTCACTCTTGTCAAATGTCATTTAGAGTTTCATTGCATACACACACTGAGAGAGTTAGAGAGAAATGAAGGCGGAAGGGAGGGAGATACACACACACACACACACACACACACACACACACACACACACACACACACACACACACACACACACACACACACACACACACACACACACACACACACACACAAACACACACACAAACACACAAACACACACACACAAACACACACACAAACACACAAACACACAAACACAAATAGTAATACAAACTAACAAACACACAGTGTAAGTATAACACTATACTTGGCGGTCTAGGTTTCTTTCTTCGCATAACAACCAAGTCCACCTGGCGGCTCGCAACTGTTTATTTAGACATAACTGGAGGGTATCAGTCGCAGACCAGATCTAAACTGCAGAGGTCTATTGTCTGATATATTAACAATCTAAACTAAGGATATAACTGGTCAATTCATCTAGGCTGTGCTGTGGGTATGAGGGAAGTAATTTGTGTAATTAGTGTGGCAATCTGGCATCTCCTTACCCCAAAGTCGTACAATTCTAACACCCAGTTTGTCTCTCTGTACAGAATTGGCTCTGTTGTTCACGGGACTAAAACATCATGGGCACATGGATAAAGGATATCATGTAATTAGGAACTGTTACCAGTACATAACGGTGCACCATCAGAGGTGGAATCATTGTTTAGAAACAGTATATAGGCAAGTCGGCGAGAGATTCACATACACGCAATGGACATGATCAACTGACCCTGATAAGTCGCTAATGATCACCACAACTATATATATCAGGGGCGGATACAGGTTGTTGAGAAAGGGGAGGGTGTGTGTGTGTGCATATTTCATTTTCACCTGTTACGAAAACGGTAAGAAAGATCATCGTTACAATGTGTAAAATGAAGGGATCATTTTTGTACACGATTCGATATTACTGAGTAAGATGTTTCTCATGTACACACTGTTCACACAGAGGTTCTTGTTAACATAATTACTCAGTGCAAAATTAATTTGAGATACATCAATGTGATCCCTTTTAGACAGCAGTGGGTCATACATTATTCGCAAATAATGCGGATGAAAATGAGACCCGACTGAGTTAAGTCTTACGCCGCTTTTAGCAATATTCCAGCAATATCACGGCGGGGGACACATGAAATGGGCTTCACACATTGTGCCCATGTGGGAAATCGAACCCGGGCCTTCGGCGTGATGAACGAACGCTTTAACCACTAGGCTACCCCACCGCCCCAGTAAGACATAAGAACTGAGATAACGCTAATCAGCCGTCACATAATGTTTAGTGATGGCCTGATGTTCCCTCTCGACTTAATAGATGTCTGAAGTCGTATTGATTGTTGTTTAACGCCGCTCCCAACAAATAACCAGCTTTCTGATTGATCCCCACAATAGACAAAAGGTCACACACAGAACATTTCCAAAACAAGTAAGAAGATAGATACCACTCACTCTGTAGCTATGCCGAGCCACGAGGGATGTGAGTGTTCATTCACTAACTCAGCATGTGGGAATTGAACCGGAAACTTTCACATGGCCAAACATGGCAAAAAGTAATATATAAGTCATTCATGACGTGATTTCGTGACGCTTTTGTCCCTCACAAAATATTTGGAAACGTCAACTGACGTGTTGTTGGAATCAAGTGCATGCAGATATGCTATGTTCATGACATATCATGGCATAAGCTTTGGTAACATGGACATACAGTCCAAGCAGTATCGCCGGATCCAGCCTAAACAACCTGTCTACATGGCCAGTGGTTCAGTGGTTCATTCGTATTATTTGAACCGCGTGTGTTTGTATCGGAGTACGGACGGAGTACATTCACTTGCATATTCTCTGTAACTTGAACCGGAAACTTTCACATGGCTAAACATACAGTCCCTGCAGTATCGCCGGATCCAACCAAGAAGCCTGTCTACGAATCAGACGTGGCCATGTCCTTTCATTATAACACAACGTATACTTTTACCACTGGAATTCAAAACGTCTAATAAGAAGCATTTGATACAGTTGATGAGTAATCTTCAAGTGTACTAAAAGTACCCGTTAAACCTAAAGAGTAAGTGAGTGAGTATGATTTGTCGCTGCAATATCCCTGTAATAGCACGATGGAAAATCAAGAAAAAGGGCTTTGCAAATAATAACCACGTTGGGAATAGAACCCGGGTATCTGTGTGACGAGCCAATGCTTTAACTACTAGGTAAACCAACGCCCCTTCAATAATAAGACAATGACACACACTTATTATAGACTGACAATACATTTGTAGTTCGGTTGTATTTGGAACACACTAACACACATTTTCCGATAATTAGAGCCACCTGCCATAACGACCGTCTAACGACGGTGGCAAATCGAGTGCCACTTTTCTGGATGGTCATTGTGTAGGTTTTAAATGTTCTTGATGATGAACAAAACACAAATATAATGTATATATCACTAAAAGAAGTTTTATTCAAGTATTGCACTTGTTTCATTGGAAACAGAAAGTAAACAGAATGTTAGTATGTTGTTACTTGATGAAGATTACTTTCGTTTATATTATTGACATTACCACCACCATTATATCTCATGGTGCCATCGTAATTGTTCCGACTAATATTTTGTACCGCCACTGTTTTGCTTACTGCTAATGTAAACTTTACATTCATTTTGCAACCTACATAATTTTAGAATATATTTGATTGTTATTTGTTGGTTTCTCACTGAATTCATTCAGGTATATATTTCTGGGTGAACAGATTGTTTCATCTTTACAATACCCTATGCATCAAAACGTGAACGTAAAATATGGGCTGACATGAATTTCTGTCTGATTATAGGTTGACATGAATTTCTGTCTAAATATGGGTTGACAGGAACTTCAGTCTATGGGAGCAGGAACTTTGCTTCCGGTAGTGGGTACAGCCCTTCCTTGGTAGAATGTGTATTATTGGAAGCTGACTATAACATATTAACTATTGAGGAGAAACAGATTTGTTGTACACCGTTAGAATCAGTGCATGCAGGCTAATATATCAAAATATGTGACCGTCATGGTTATCACTATGTTCATCATTTTCACAGCTGAAAATCCCAATCATTCTATCAAAGAATTACAGTCCATATATACAAGACCGCCTCCGTGGTGTAGTGGTGAGAGCGTCCGCCCGGAGTGCGGAAGGTCGTGGGTTCGATCCCCGGTCGCGTCATACCAAAAGACGTTAAAATGTGGTACTTGTTGGTCCCTGCCTGGCGCTCTGCATTTATGGGTACAACAAGGGCTGGTCGGCTCGGAGTCAGTATAATGTGTCCGAGTGGGATATTCATGCTTCACTGCGGCATGGTATCTCAGTGGGCTAGCACTATAAAACCAGCTTAAGTCTGAGCTAGTACAGGCAGCCGCACATCCACATACACAAGCATGCACGTCGTCATATGAGCGAAATATTCTCAAGCACGACGTTAAACCCAATTTCACCTCACCTCATGAATTGTGACCCTCTTCAGACATGAGGTGTGATCAATAACATCTCAAGGAAGCCTTTCTAGCTCTAACGAAATGTAGTTTAAGCCTAAATACAGCATGTTTTTTTCTGGAAATCTTTGAAACATCTTTAACTGACATCGAACAAATTCATTCACATATCCTTTGTACAGCCCGAATCGAAAAGGCGGGAGGGCAATAGGTAAGACCCAATTTTCCTTTCAAGGGAGCTAACGGTCCCTTGTCTGGGAGGAACTGGAACCTCTGTATCATAGCAACCAAGAACAGGAACAATTCCATCCGGGCCAAAGATTCTCCGAGACACAATCTGCGACCTAAAAACAGATATATATATATATATATATATATATATACAAAGAGAGAGAGAGAGGGAGGGAGGGTATATTTTCTTATATTCCATTAAAACGTTTGGTGACCAAGACAAATGATGCATTGACACTTTAAGTAACATTCAGAGACAAAACAAACTGCCTCCCAAAATGTCCCAAGAGTTCCCAAAGTATTCCAGATTTTAGAAACTACCAACAAGTACCTTTACCTTTATGAACTACAATTTCATCAAGGTTGTGCAGTTGCAGGAACGTGTTTTAGAACGTAAACTTTGCAGCTCATGATGTGAATTGCGCTACTTAGTGGTTGCAAGGAATCATACAACAACGAACAACCAGTACCTCAGGTCGTCACAGGTGACATGTCTATCATTCATTGACAATAACAATCTTCGTCAGTTATCGGTCCCAAATACCGTGACCAGAATCCTAGTACCAATAACCATTATCACTGGTACAACATTTACCCATGCTCATCATACAGTCAGAAATGTATAGTAGACCTACTTTTAGCAGGAAATAAAGGTATAAAACAACTGCAATATTTACCCATAGAGAAGGGGATGAATTCTTCTTTCTTCAGATACTTCCCTTCATCATCTAGGAATCGTTCAGGTCTGAAGTTTTGGGGATCACCCCACTCGGCTGGATCTTGTAGAACCGAGTCCAAATTTGGCAGGACAGTCACGCCCTTTGGAAACGTGTAGCCCTGAAACTGGATGTCGTGAGGTACAGTGTGGGGAGCTGCAAGTGGAGCTATGTCTGAACATCTCATTATCTCACTGATGGTGGCTTCGACGTAGGGAAGACTAGTCTTGTCCTTCATGGTGGGAAGTCTGCTTTGCCCGATGTTGTCCTGTATCTCCCTGAAACACTTCTCCTGAACGTCGGGGTTGTGGAGGAAGTAAAGGAGAGTCCAGCGGATGGTGGTGGCAGTGGTCTCAGTTCCGCCTATGAATAAATCTCTGACAGTTTTCTCCAGGTGAAGTTCTGCAAGAACAATGAAACATAATAAGGGACGAGCAATACAAAATACAGCAGATACCCAGTTGATAGTGTTTGAACAGGCATAACATTGAGTCATCATTGGTCTACTGCTGGGTTATATAATTGGTTGCTGTGTAAAGTGTACGTTCGCGCTAGAAACCCCTTTGCTCCACTCATTGATAATGCAGCTCTATAACAAATGTTATTAGTAAACCGTGTGTTGGGAGTTTCAACACGCCTGAAACGACACGTTTTTAGACCATATAACTGGTGTGTTATTATGGGTAGTGGCTCCGAATGCAAAACATTAACTTGTGTGGAAGAAGAAGCCAAACAATATATTTGCTAATTCTACTTTAAGCTCAACCTGCTACCAAACCTGTAGTTGCTTCCACGAAGTCGCATTTCTTTGATGACTTGATTCTGCTTTCTGATCCCTTTTGATTTCCATGAGTGACATCATAAATCTCATCTCTAAGAAAATTATATTCAATCTTAATTGTTTATGTAATGTCATACAATCATGGACTATTCTGTTATAGAAATGGTAACTTGTCAACTTACTATCAAACGTGTCGTCGCTTCCACGAAGTTTCATTTCCTTGATGTAAGCTGTGATGAAATCGTCCACATTGTCTTCGTCGTAACTCTTCAAGTGTTCCTCAATATCCTTTTCAATTTCACCTTTCTCAATTGTTTCCATACTCTGCATCATTTTTTTAAAATTGAAAAAATCTCCTGGGATAAACCTTACAATTGGAAATAAATTCAGTGTACTTGCTCCCCCGAGTAGGTCCAAAATATTCTCTGTAGCTTTTAAGAATTTGACAAACCGTGGATCATCATACTCAAACTGCTTCCCCAAACAAACAGCACAAATGATATTAGACACGGCGTTGTGCACGAGTCGTTTGCAGTCGAAAACATGTCCACCCTTTTTCTCGAGTGCTTTAAGGAAGACCGACAACTCATTGTGTATTTTGGTCTCCAGAAGGGACTTCCCCATCCCAAAATCTCTGAGTGTTGTTAATGCAAATTTTCTTTGTACTTTCCAGTGGGCGCCTGAGGTCCCTCCTATACCTGAAATGGTGAAAGGCGGAGAGAATAGTTTCCTTTAAAAAATCATAAAACTTCTTGAATCACGAGTGCAGTTTTGGTGTGTAATGTCTCTCTTTTGTTACGGTGAATAAATTGCCGTGACAAAAGGTTTAAGAGTCCCCTTTGAACTAGCAAAATATAACAGAGACAAGTCTAAAATATTCAATAATATATTGAGCAAACAATGAGCAAGCTACAATGCATCACAATAGAGATTTCTAGTACAATGCAATTGAATCACAAATCTAAAGTATTGGGTCACAAATATAAGATATCAACTCACCACGAGCCTTGACATTTACAGTGAGAGCAGATATATTCTAATTTAAGGTTGTTAAAAAAAGGGTTGAATAAGGCAGGCAGTGACTGTCTGGAACGAAGGACAGACGATGTTGACGAAGGCAGACAACGACGGTAGGCAGATGACGGCAGACAGATGTACACAACTCCAGTGATATGATAAGTCCATGTGTTAGTCCGTGTGTGATTCCGTCGCACAACACAACAACCAACCTTTATATAGCTCTTACACAGTTTTCGGGCATTCTAGTAAAGATAGGCTGCATCTTTAACCACTCAGAATGTTATCGAAATTCGTCGAACATACGACCGGGAGTCAAAACAAATAGTTGTACAAAAGATTGCCCCAAGGGAGCAACACTGAAGCGCTATCAAAAAAGGCGTACCACTAAAAATACTATTGCCATTGAACATACATGACGCAAGGTGTGAGCCGCAACCCACACTCAAAACTTTAAATATTGTGACCCAATAATAACTATCACCTGAGCAATAATTTTACAAATTACAAAAAAATGTTGAACGTAAAATAGAAGTGTTTCCGTGGTATATGCTTTGGAGTGAGAGCAATAGTTCTGTGTTTATATTTTTCTTAGAGGCGATGTGCACGCTTTCTTGATTCTGCATTGCAAAATCCCATGTGAACACTTTAACAGAGGGTGCAGAGCGTTTATTACGGTATGCCTTACAATTCCAACATATTGCCCTACCGATCCAATCTTTAATATTTCAGGTCGCGATTACGTCGAGGGTAAAAACATCCTCATGCTGAAATGTCGTACTAGGGGTTTTGTAGCCTTTATTGCAAAAACATACTGCCTATAGTTTCAGCTCTATATCACGAGGACGTTAGATGCCCTGAAGGATATGGTTCAGTTTAATACTTATTAACTGACAATGATTTCACTCCAACCTTCCTTATGTCTTACAATTGGTCTTCACCAATCAGTGCTTGTCTTAAGAAGACACCAACGGTCAAGCTCCATGACATGGTTGATACATGTTATTGTATCCAAATTCCAAATCGATGCCCACGTTGGCAGGCACGTGGTTAATGGGTTCATACTCGAATATTTATCATAAATACTGCTGAGAGCAGCGCTACACAACAAACGAACGAAGAAACAAAATACCTCGGGAGACAAATAAACTGTAGCATAAATGTACCATAATTTATCATACCTTTGCCTAGAGCAAAATAATCAGTTCACTATTCAATAGTGTTGAGAGTGGCAACACAACAAAGAAACAGAAGAACTCGGCAGACAAATCAACAGTAGCATAAATGAAAACACATAACGCAATAATGGCAATTTCACATACCTTTGCCTTGAGCGAAAAAATCTGTTAGAAACGATTTTGGTCTTCCGGAGAAAACGTCACCATTCTTCACGAGGGCCTCCTTAATGGCACTGTATCCACTGAGGACAATGACTGGCTGATTGAAGATGTACACGCTGAAGATGTTTCCATACTGACGCCGCAGTTTGCTGAATGTTACCCTGATGTCGGCATCAATGGACAAGACGTTGCCCACGAACGGAAGAAGAGGGGGACCAGGGGGAAGACCAGGAGGACGCCGCGTTGACAGCCATAGAATAAGTGCTACATTGATGAACACCAGTATCAGAGATGTATTAAACATCAACAGTCCCGTCAGTGATGCTATGGCAGCAAATATTGCAGCAGAGCTGGAGCTAACCATACTGGCTGTCGTTTGTGATCTCCACCCACTGAAAACTGACTTCTCTTGTCGCTCACGCAACCTTATAGAAAACGCTCATGTGACGTCAGCAGAATGGAAACGAAGAGGTGACATTTTGGCGTTGTTGCATTGTCGCATTGTCGCCCTTTTGTAGAATTAAAAATGTTATTCAAAGGGGGCAACATGGCCAAAGTATCGCAGTGTCACATTTTCGTGCTTTGGGTAATTTGAGACTTTTTACTTGTTTTTGTAAGAGCGGCAATGCATCAACGGGCAATGTCCCTTCTTGGATTCCATACACATGCTACTCATGACGCAACAATAACACAAAGGGCGACAGTTGTGTGAGTGGAGCGACGATAAGAAAACGTATGTTGACCTTGAGACATGTTGCCGTTTGTTAGCCTTGCTCGGGGCAACACTGAATATTAAGCCCATCGATGTATAGTAAATATATCAGTTAAAGGCACAACGTCACACCACATCTCCATAAAAATACATAATGCGTTTCTCTCAATAATACTATCAGCTTTCAGGGAGGCTACCACATAATATAACACACACACACACACACACGAAATATGAATTAAGATTACATTATTAATTTTATAAAGTTCGAATAATTGCAGCATTGCTTACAATCGACTCTCGCGCCCTCTACCGACCGAACATTATTTCAAGCGAACCCCATAGAGTTATATCCCTTTGAATGCTCCTTACTGGCTAGCGAACAGTTATCGCCGCGTGACAGTTATCGCCAGCATATCAGTATCACACGTGCACAGTTCCTGTCAATTACAATCCCGGGTTTTTTTCCCCATGGTATATGACAACAATAAAGAACAGCAAAAGAACATTCTTCACGGTGAGTAACATAAGAGAAAAATGAAAGATAAGTTATGAACCCTATAAATTGTTTTAACTTAGTCGGGGGTGGGGGTGGGGGTGTGTTTGTGTGTCCCGCAACCTATATAATAGCAAGTTCAAGTCCACAAGTCATTAATTGTTTCAGTCCCTATCAATCTACTGTAAAAGAAACACTCAAATAGTCAAATATTATGTATTATTTCACGAATGGCATGAGAAGTTCGGAATGGCGATAACTCTTAATTACAGTTTGTTGTGAGAAAACATCTATTATACTGCCATGATTCCCTTCCGCCGCGTTATATAAAAACATGATCGGCGGCAGTGAACGGGCTGGACACATCGGTGTATATAATATCTAATTAAGCATCATAATTAATTCTGTTTCATTAATTTAACGTACGGCGGAGTAATTTTGTAAATACCGCTAAAATATGGCGATAACTGTTCGGTAGCCAGTACAAATATGCTGTAACCGAACCTGTGATTGAAACCAGTTCGGCAAACACCGACAACACCGCGTGCGACAGTTTTTTGATGTACAATCGTTTACATTCCATATTCCATATTCTCCTCGAAGTTTCAGTTATCGATTTCAGGCAAGTCGACTGACTGAGTTTGGTTTTACGCCGCTTTTATCAATATTCCAGCAATATCACGGCGGGGGACACCAGAAATGGGCTTAACACATTGTGCCCATGTGGGGAATCGAACCCGGGTCTTCGGCGTGACGAGCCAACGCTTTAACCACTAGGCTACCCCACCGCCCCTCAGGCAAGTTGAAGGGGATAAGTCTTTTATTGCATCAATTGGACGCTAAAGTGAGTGCATATGCCCCCAATATATAAAATTTAGGCCAATTTATTGTGGAAAATGTGTGACATTGTGATTTAAAGAGGTAGGTCGAGATAAGGAGACAAAAAGGAAGCCAATCATTTATTGGGATAACGTGTTATTTTTATCTATATCATCTAGAAATTATGATTTAAGCTAATAACTACTCTTTGATGAAAAAAAAAACAAACAAACTATTTATCAAAATGAAACAGCAAAACAATTTTGTCATTCATAGCTTGTATTTGTGATGATGGCAATGTAATGCGAGAAGCTTGCCTCGTCTGGGGTTCATATGCTGCTCTCAGCTACAGGCCTACAGAGCTGGCCCATATAGGGAAGGCTCTTGCCACTGAGCGGCACATGCACAGCTCAAAAGAGTCAGTGTGACCTGACACACATCGCAGTGTTTTGGCAAGACTGTCCTTTATCGGATACAACCTGTGATCGAGAAACCTAGATTTACACGGGCTCTTTACAAAGTGTAGAAATCATTCTTTAACCTTAATCATATGTCAGTTCACATGTATCCATATCCTATACGTCGGTGAATACACAATACCATTTAGAAAGTGATCAAATATAACCCAAGTTATATTTGAGATTAAACTTTTTCAAAACAGTACAGATTGCAGTAGTATTGTTAGGTTTGTCCCATCCGGGATTCGAGCCCACCACACCCTCAGAGTCAAGCACCTAATCAGTGGCTGTGTTGATGCAGAAAATAATGTTCACTTCAATTAGTTTATAATTTCATGCACTAAAGATACTTGTTGTCAAAAGGTTATAGTTTTATGTTGCAAAGTACAAAGTGCTAAAATAGTGTAGTAATTTTCATTGTAAAATTTAGTTCAGATGAGGTTCAGAAAGTCTAGCTAGGCTAAAACTGTTATTAGTTTTCCAAAAAAGTATTATCATGATTGTCTTAACAGATTACTTCCCCTTATTGTTAGTGTTGCTCCTCATTAGAGCACATGGCTTGTCACTGCCTCCATGTTGGAGACATCAGCTGTTGTAGTTGGCATGAACACAAATTTTTCTGAACCTCACCAAGCCAAAGAAAGAAGTGAAAGTGAAATTGAACGTATACCAGAATAAATTTTTGGTGCGAGTAAAGAATTTTTGTGTTTTGCATCCACATCAGTTCAGAAATTTTTTCTACCATTGCCATATGATGTTGGAACTGAAGAACGTTGACCATCAGAACTTCAAGGCCAAATAACGTCAGTTGTGTTACCCTAATTGGACTTAGTGAATATTTGTGGACATTTGTTTCTTGCATAATTGACCATCATAGTATAGTGTGATGTGTAATATGTAACGTGCTATGACGGCAACGGCAGGGGATGATGTGTTTTATCTGCAGGATGAACAATCTGATTTGACATTGAATGAACAATCTGATAATGTGAAACGCAGTGAGCAGACTGTAGAAACTTCTGGTGAAGGTATCCAGTATCCAGTTGACCAGGTCGAGACTGACCACACTAAAGTTAAGCCAGTTAGAGAGTCAGGAAGAGTTAAAACTTTGACTGAGAAAGGGAAAGTTGAAAGGTTACGATGGTTGAAGAATCAACAAACTGCAGCGCTTTCAGCCATAACAAAGAAGAGAAATGAACTTTCCAGATTAATGTTGAATAGTGGTAGTGACAATTTACATTCAGTGAAGTTTTGTTTTGTTGAGTTGATTGATTTGTGTAAACAGTATCACACTTACTTTGCTTCCTATTATGAGCAGCTTGATTCTGAGGCAGATAGAGATTGTGAGAGAAAACGTTATGAAGAAAAGAGTTTTCTATTCTTAGCTCTAGAAAGGTAGTTGAGAGTTGGATTTCAAATGAGAGACTTTTGTTTGATAAGAGTGATGATCTGTCAAATAGGGGTTCCCAAGCTTCAGGTAAAACTACAAGTTCAACAAGATCGGCTCTAGCTAAGGAAAAGGCAAAATTGGCTGAACTTCTTGCATGGACATGTTAGAGGAAACAGGTAAAATGAAGGAGCTTCTGTTGAACATAGAAATTGCTAAGACTAGGGCAAGAGAGATTGTTTATGCAGATATAGACTCCGAGCTACAGGGTGATTCAAACCTCAGACAGAATACACGTCCCAAGGTTTGAACCCAAATGCAAGTTATTTCACACCTTCAACACAAGTTCACCCACCTTTGACTATGAATACTATGGATTCATCTGTTCAGCAAACACTGCAGTCTACCCAGAATGATGTGCTACTCAAACCCACAGACAGATGACAACTGCCATGTTTCTTCCACAACCTGAAGTACCCAAGTTTAGGGGCGACCCAACAGCATACAGCTCATTCATGATGTCATTTGATGCTAGGATAGTTGCTCACACCACAAACAGTATAGACAGGCTGTACTATCTGGACCAGCAGCTGGAGGGAAAACCAAAGGAGTTAATAGCTGGATGTTTGTACATGGCACCAGTGGAGGGATACATGAAGGCTCGGGAGTTGCTGGCTGGAGAATACGAGGATCCATACAAGGTTTCTACAGCGTACGTCAATAAGGTACTTTCATGGCCAGATATTAGGCAAGAAGATAGTCAGAAGTTGAAACAGTTCTCATTCTTTCTCACCAATTGTTCACATGCTATGAATAATATATGAATCCCAAATGACCGTCCTGAACCATACACCCAATTTGCAGGCTATAGTACAGAAGTTGCCTCAATACCTCCAGAACAAGTGGCGAGATCACATTACCAAGTGTAGGATCCAAAGCAACAGGATAATCGGATTTAAAGATGTCGTGGAGTTCATAGACTTCGCAGCCAAATCAGCGAACGAGCCCATTTTCAGTAAAGAAGCGATGAGTAAAACTGAAAGTAATCGTGGACCTGCTCCAAGCAGAGCATTTAGGAAGCACAAGCTGATTGCTAGCAAACCAAGGTCTAGCACTTTCGCAACAAATGTCGGACAGAACTGGTGCGAGTAAAGACTTTTTTCATCCACAGGCTCAGTCAGTTAGGCTGCTGACTTTGTGTGCTGCGATTTGCTGCCTGACTACGAGGGTGTGGGTTCGAATCTCGGATGAAACTCAACCCAACAAAAGTACAAGAATATCTGCTTTACTGAGAAAGTGTAATCCCAAATATAACTTGTGTTACTAGACGTCGGTGTTTGTAAAAACAACAGCGTGTCTTTGTTACAATATCAGATGTTTCACATAGGTGTCAGCGGAGATACCACAGTTGACAGCTATTTTATAATGTCCAAAGTTCTTTTATAAAACTATTGATATAGATAAAAATGAAAATCGGTCAGCGTATTTTCTATTTATCCTTTAAAAGTATGCCCCTTTCACATAAGAATTTCACGCTCAGACAGTGGGGTAATCAATCTGCTTTAGTGAACCTAAGGA